AAAAAAAACAAACTGTAACAATCGTCCGATTCATTGAGCATTCAATCGTATAAGATTATTATTATCAATCGTAACAATTTACAAATTTTGGAGCGGACATCAACAATATGATCAATTATATCTCTTGAATATATTGAATTGACAACTAAAGAGATATGAAACCGTCTAGCGAGACTAAGCACGAACTTTTCTTCCACCCCCGACGGTTCGATTCCCGTATACAACATTTTTACCTTCATGTTTGTTCTATATATTTTTGTCACATGTAGTTGATCACATTTTCCTAAGTTACTTTTTTTAATAAATTATTTGCAGTTTCCAAAGAAAAAACTTTTTGAACCCCTGATTTATACTCCAAGCATCAAATTCATCTCAATAGTCAATTCTATTTACAAATGAGGTTCTAAAAGTTATAATTTTGACCCTTAACTTTTATAGATTTTCATATGTCCCATTTTAATAAATGTAATTTACTTTTTAGTTTTCCATCGCGACTATCCACCCTCTTAAATTTATTTTGCTTATATACAAAAAATTATATTTAAGGGCTCATTATTATTCTTTGCACATGACATTCAAAATCAACGAACTGGTTATGATCACAGTGATAATTCTATTCTTGAACAAATCCCAATGCATATTTATAAATTCGCACGAGAAAAATAAACCACCCGATCATTGTGTTTTATCAGACCCACAATTGCAAACCACTTTTATTTTTTTCATCATAATATCAATAAAATTCAAAATATGTTCTGAAAGCCTTTCGAATCGAGAGCTCGCTGATTTTGACCGATCCATATTCATTTTAGTAACTTCCTTGCAAAATAAATATAACACTCATTCTAATCCATACTTGCTTTTCAAAACACCATGAAAATGTTTAGATTTTTCATTAACTTTGATATTCTATTTTTTTTAAGAAGTCTTTCAAACTCAACTTAACTTTTAACTTTTTGTCAAATATCCAAGCTTTTCAGGTGCATTAGGTGTACTTTAAGGCTCCAACATCTATCTTTATATCTTCTTTGGAAATTAGATAGTTTAGATCTTTCCACATTTCTAACGTATCTTTTTGAGAAATTGACTTATCAGAGTAATTACTTTTTCGTATTGTTCATGTCTAGGCAACTTCTTTTTTTTGTACACATTTGACTATTTAACTTGTTAAATGTGTTCACATATTACCATTATATCATGTGATATAATGGTAATATGTGAACACATTTAACAAGTTAAATGGTCAAATATGTACAAATTTTTTTTTGTCTAAATGTGAACATTTTTTTATAAATTTCTTAAGACTTAATATAATTTCTTACAACATTCTTATGATATTGTTTTCCTATAGGTTTTTCTAATACAATGTTTTAAACTTAGCATGTAATATTTTTTAAAAGTTTTTTTATTCTTTCATATAATTTTAATACAAGTGCTTTTATACCAAATATTTTATAAATCTTTTAAATTTTCCTTACAGTTTTTTACCTATTTTTTGCATTTTCGTACAATTTTTTTTACAAGTGTCATACAATTATTTATAAACTTTCTTTTATAACATTTTTAAATTTTCAAAGATGTTTTATGACAATTTAATACTTTTTATAACATTTTAACTACTAGTTTAAAACGTTGTATTAAAAAAATAAAAAGTTTATAAATTTCAAATTAAAAAGTATTAAAAAGTTGTAATAATTTTAAAATATTTACATTATATATTTTTTATTTTTTTATTTTCTATGTAATATTTTTTTTTAAAAAGACTCTCCATACTTATTGTTATATATTTAATTTATTTAATTTTATTGCTAAATACTATTTACTTTAAAAATATTGTATGAGTTTTTTCTATAAATACCCCCCCCCTCCTTTTCCAATCTCACCCCCCTTGATTTGATCTTTTGTCTTTTTGTTGTTTTTTTTGTTTTTTTTCCTATTTTTTTAGTTGTTTTTAACTCTTTTTTAATTATATTATTATTATTATTATTATTATTATTATTTTTATTTTTATTATTATAAATTTCGCATAAAATTTTAAAATTCGGACGATATATTTTTTTGGTTTTTAATTCTTTTTTAATTTATATTATTATTATTATTATTATTATTATTATTATTATTTTTATAAATTTCACATAAAATTTTAAAATTCGGACGACATTATAAATTCAAACGGCTATATAAAATCAGTTTTTAAATATATTTTTTATATTTTAATATTAATATTATTACTGTTATTATTATTATAAACTTCAAACAATATTTTATAAATCGGACATTATAAATTCGAACGACTATATAAAATCGGAACAAAAGCAAAGTTTTTCCCTATTAATTACGGATATTAATTGGTACGGTATTACAATTGCGTATTGCGTGGTGCGTTATACGGCTTGAAAACATTTAGTCGAGCACTATACAATGTTTCCCATGCAGCCGAATGTTCTGATCTGTATGTACGGAGAAGCCTGGGCAAAACATCAGGCATTGGATATGCTCCTTGTAAATCAACCATTACATAATGGTTAGGGTGAATGTGGGCGATAACGACATATGTAGGGTTTGGTATGTCTTGCGGGCCATATCGATGTGGGAACGACGTTGAAGAACCTTGTTTGCTTAGATAAATAACGATAACACCGTATCTGTTAGCAATGAGTATAGCAGTGTCAGACATAATCAACCAATACTCCGATACCGCAAAACCCGATCCAGAGTAATTCAATGAGTGACTTATGCGGTTTAAAAAATGAACATCATCATAAATCATAGCGTACTCTTAATAGTGTGATAATAACTCGTTGTATAGATCGTACCTAATTTGAAGCCAATCATGTTCACTACAACAAAGAGCAACTGCTATAGACCAAAATCCACAATTTCCATCTCCTTCGATATTTGTAATGTTCCTGACGTATGGATGAAATTGATGTGGAATTTCATTCATAAGTGGGATTGGAGTATAAGATGGTTGATCTTGGTTAAAGTATGAATTGTGTGAAAACTTGCCATAAGGACGGAAGGAACGATCGATAATTTTGTGAATCGAATGAATCAAACGAATCAAATAAATAATAATAATAATAATAATAATAATAATAATAATATTAATAAACGAATAATAATATTTCTATTATTAGGTGTACAATAATTACAGCTTCTCAATATGGGAATATTTTGAATTTGGAAGATGACAAACAAAAAATTTGTGGTAAATATAGTGGAACCAAAGGGCTTCTAGCCTAGCGGTATCCGGTGTTGCCCTCCCTCCTTGAGGTCTAGGGTTCAAGTCTCGTGAAAAACATAGGTGGAGATTTAGGTGTTATATAGGAGTAGAATAGAATAGATTTGCTTTTCCAAAAAAAAAATATAGTGGATAAGGAAAAGGAAAAGGAATCCAATGTAAGTTCGAAGTGTGTCAAAACAGAAAAAAGGCTTTAGAATTTTTATTTTTCTTAAAAATAAAAAAGGTTTTAGGTGTATATAGCTTAAAAGTTGCTAATGTAAGTTGGAAGTGTGTCGAAAAAAGGTTACAAGTTCAAAGTGTGTCGAAAAAAGAAAAAAAGTTTTATTTTTCTTAAAATTGTTATATATATATATATATATATATATATATATATATATATATATATATATATATATATATTTGTGTCAAAAAAGATAAAAAAAACATGATGTCAAATCAAATGTCAATAATTTGATTTGATTGACAGTAGGGGGTAAATATGAAAAAGGGGATACTTATAGCAAAACTCATATTGTATATGCTTAAAAACAAAAGAAAAAAAATAATCTCTCCATCCTAACATTATTGTCCACAAACAAAAAACACACAGATTAAAGAAACATTAATTAGCACCAACTTTATTAAATAAAATGACAATCGTACCATTTTGTTGCATTTAATTCCATCATTTTGTTGCATTTAATGTCATGGTAGATGAGGGGTATTTTGGTAAAAGGGACATTTATTTTTAGAAGTGTATTCTTATTTTGGGACAAACCGAAAAGTAAGTATAGACTATTAATTTGGGACGGAGAGAGTATATAACAAACTCTATAAAATATTTTACAAAACAAAAACATATTTATTAATTAAACGGTCAAGTTTAGAATTGACCAATATTTAATTAATATTTATGACATTATAGATACTTTAAAAATAACGTTTAAAAAAAATAATACAAACAAATATGAAAAATAAAATCGTTATTATAAGTGGAGAAAATGATTATCAGGGTAATTAACTTTTTGTTTTTTTTTGTCACATTTAGGCAAATTTTTTTTGTACATATTCACTACTAGAAAAAAGGTTTTCTATGACAGACAATGTCTGTCGTAAATGCTTGTACATGACAAACAAATGTCTGTCATTGAAAGTCATGTCATAAATGAAAATGACATACATTTGGTCTGTCATAAAATTTACGAAAGACCTTTATGACCTACAATTACAGAGTCAAGATCAAATAAGAAGGAAATATTTGGTAGGAAGGTAAGAAGTTTTTTTTCTACATATTTTTTTCGCGAACAAACAAAATGAATCATTAGATGATTCATTTGTAAGATGAATCACAAGAAAAAGTTCTCAAAAAAACATCTCGATGATTCATTTATACAATGATTTTGTTGTTATTCACTAAAGTTGTCATAAAAGTGAATTTTTTCTGAATTTACTTAAAATAAATCATAAAGATGTTTTTTTGGGAATTTTTTCTTGTGAATCATCTTACAAATGAATCATCTAGTGATTCATTTATTTTGTTCGTCAAAAAAATATATAGAAAAAAAAACTTCTTACCTTCCTACCAAATTTTTTTTTTACCGGATCTATATATATATATATATATATATATATATATAAAATACACATTTAATATCTCATAATGCAAAATAAAATATCATATATACAAAAAGATAATCCATTATACAAACCATAGTGTAAAATACATAAGCATGTTTCAAATTCATCAAAACATAATTGTCAAATACATATATCACTAATAAATAAAGTTTGCGACATAAGTAGCCCATTCTTCACGCACCTTATCGAGCTCAAACATTTGTATATTCATTCTTCCAAAAAATGAGACAAAAATTAATAGATTAGCCAAAAACAAACAAATAAAAAATTATAATACATTCAATTGTGTATCAACATTAGCAGAATTTAGAAAATCAAGGGAATAGTGGTAGTTTGAATGTCTAGTACTCTACTAGCATCCAATTTGAACTTACTTGTGTTCAATATATTTTGGATTGCAACTAGAGTATTTCAAGTATCCATCCCAGACTCTACAAAATGGTACATAATTGTAATAATTCGTAAACCAGAGGAATTATGGTATTTCATCATCCATGTATTTTAACAAAAACAAAGTGTTCCACAAATACAAACCTCTTTGCAAACTCGATAACTATTTTTCCAAGCTTCATATTTTGACGCTCAAGGTACCTTACATCACAAACCATAGCCCATGGTGTCATCAACCATAATAAATGATTCGTAAACGATTGTCTGCAAAATGGGGGATAAAACTATAACATAAAGTAATCCAATAAATTCATAAAGAATTAGAAGAAAAATACTTACTTTTTTCGATTCGAGAAGGCATCAACAAATATTTTGTTGTACTTTATTGCAATTGGGCAAGTGGACGTAAGTTTAAATGCACCCTATGATATATAAATTACCAATAAATCAAATATATAACTAAAACTAAAAATATTTTAATGGAAAAGAAATAATTATTCACTTATTATAAAACTAACAAAAAATATTTCTTGAAAATGCAATATATATATATATATATATATATATATAATATATATATATATATATATATATATATAGATATATATATATATATATAGGCTTAGGTTATTCTATTCAAAGTAATTATTGTGTTATTATATGCATAAATGTGGGCCAATCAAATTTACTTATTTTAATAAAGTGATTAATATATATTATTGAATTAAATATAATTGAAAAATATCATCTTAATTAATTACAAGGGTAATTTAGTCAATTAATATAGATTTAATAAATGAAAATTGCATTTTTTAAGGGATCATAAATTCTATTACTTTTAAAAATCCGATTCTACGAATTATAATTCTTTTAATTCGGACATTCTGACAGAATATGTTCATGATTATATTCAAAAATAAAAATATTCTTGAACCATAAATAATAAAAATATTTTTGAACCTATTTCTTGATCATGACTTTAAAAACTTCTTGTAGAATAACAAATTCTTGAACAATCAATTGAAGAATAAAAACAAAAAATACATTATTTCTTATAGAATACGGGTAACAATTGTTAAGAATTACATTTATTGTTAAAGAATAAAACTAAAAAACTTTCAAAACGGGAAGAAAACATCAAAATCTAACAACGAAACTAATACATTCTAAAAGAATAGTGTTGCTTAGAATCACTTTCAATTTTGTGGTCCGTTCTTCAAGCATCAACTTCTGTGATTCCAACAGAAATGGAATTCGTGATTCCATTCCAACAGAATTGGAATTCGTGATTCCATTCCAATAGAATTGATGGGCTATACAACACTAAAGTATCTAAATCATAAACACACATTAACAATTGGGCCAAATAATCTTAGGTTGTTTGTAAGCACGACTTGAGTTAGTTGTTCGACTTGGTCCACATCATATATTTAGGAGATTATCGGCATGAAAGCTCCATGAAAACCATAAGGCACTCGATATGGCAAGGTAATAATTGCAACTGGCTCACTGGTAAACTTCTGTGCATCTACTAGGATAATCTGTGAAATTAAGCCAATTTGTGTCCCATTGATATCCAAGAACCATTAGTCCAATTTGCTTCACAAGAATATCTATACATGTAATAAGAGATTGACATAAACTTACCCGAGATATATTCAAATGTTCATCATGTACAAACGAGATCACCCAGCCATCATCTTATTCAAGACCATCAGGCTTTGGCACAAACACAGCACTTAAACAGAATGTGTTTTTTGGGAACGTATTGAACATAAGCTACTGAATCAAACAAATCTACATGAAAGGTTTTGTTAATACCAAATTTATCGAAGGTCAATTTCAGGCAGATTTAGGTTTAGGGCAGATCATGAGGAAAAATAGATCGACACCATGAAGATGATAAAGATATGAAACAATCTCAGGAAAACCCTAGCTTGAACAAATAAGAAGGAAAGCATGATTGAGAAAGCGTGTATGAATACCTTTGAGGAACGAGAGAGAGAGTGCGCGATCGGAGCAGTGTCTAACCCTGATCTAAGTGAGACCTCCATCGCTCCAATTCACAACAGATCGGAGCATATTATCGATTTTCCTCTCGAATTGAGGAGTCCACCAGCGAGACGATTCACGTGGGCGCGATTCGAAAGATGCCTCGCCATCAATCCTCAACAGTGAGGCGGGTAAGGATGTTGAGGAGGCACTCGTGAGTCAAATTGGCCCAGCAGGAGTAGAGTTCTGACTCGTCGGCTTCTTTTTCTCGACGGTGGGGCGTCTATGTGATTTAATTGATATCTCCGGCGGTAAACGACGGCGATGAAGTAGAAAGAAACGGACTACGGAGTCAAGATTGAGCCGAGAAGAAGATAGAAAAAGGCTTTGGCTTGCCACGAGTCCGAGAGCTGCTTGATTGTAAAAGGTCGATGTTTTCTGTCTAGGGTTTTAAAGCGGTAACTGTAAACGATTTTGCCTAATGTAAAGGTTTTATGATTTGAATAATTAAATACCAAAATTAATTAAAAGCTAAGATTACAATTCTACCCCTATCTAGGTTTTTAAAATGATTGGTCCACATTTATGCATACAGTAACACAATAATTACTTTAAACACCTGAACCTATCTTTCTCTCTCTCTCTCTCTCTCTATATATATATATATATATATATATATATATATATATATATATATATATATCAACAAATGTAACTGTTTGAATATACCAATGAATTAATTATTTACACAAGTTCCTTCAGGTAAGATAATAAGAGGATTGTCGTCGGCCCCTTCAGTATAATCCCTTAACCTAAAATCACAATCTCATGTCACAAAACTATTGATAAAATTATAAAATGAAAATAAAATGACATATAAGTTTACAATTTTACATAGATTCTAGCTATAATTTCACGATATTTTGTTTTTGAACGATTAAACCATATACATCCTTAACTATCCAAAGTAATTCTTTGTAGAAGTTATAAATACCATTGGATAAATCATTTTCTTTAAAATGATAAAGAAAAAAAAACTATGTGTGTGTACATACCAACCCATCTGAGGTGTTTTTGCATAACAACATGAGCAGTCATTTAGTAACTTATGTGTTTAGGCCTTGCACATGATCTAGGGCCATTATACTTCACTACCCTTGTCCATGATGCAATAAAGAGCTGCAAATTAACTCCACCAAAGCCTTCTGAACCCAAAATACTCAAGATACTAGTCAGCTTTCTTCTGTGATATGAAATTTATAAACTTAGTAACGATTTAAAAGATGATAGAATAAAATGTTATCATACCTCTAGCCTTTTTCTTAACTTATCATTCCCTTTTAATAGCAAATGCACAAGAATATAACATGATAGGAATATTATCCATCCTAATGTGAGAATAAGAACCTAAAAATATGAACAATAAGCAAAGAAACCAAATGTTAAAATTCTCATTTTCATAGTGATATCATGCTCATAAATTCTGTTTTCAATTTCCCTTTATGCTTCTCTTAACCAACAAGATAGACCTCCTACAGAGTCAACATTTGTGGAAGACATTTTTGCCCATGAAAGTGATGGCAGAAGAGGAGATATGATGGTAGATATAGTGAAAAAAATAGAGGGTGGCCCACTGTATCACATCAGACAAAACAAAATGAGAACTCACAAGATGCCTTTAACGATTCTACCATCAGGTTTGAAAGAGAACTTTGAATTCTTTTGTACCATTTTTTCATCATCATCATTAGAGAAGTTAGAAATTATACTATATAGTAATTGTTGGCTGTGTAAGTACTGGTATAACTATAATCAAGAATAGTATGTGACATAACATGATCACAAATATGATGGAATCTTCTGCACCATTGGTGGCTGAAACTGCTAAAACTTCTCCACATAAACAAAATCATGTCTTTTTTTTTCTGATAATCACATTAATTTATGACTTTATTGAAGAAATCATGAAAAAACTAAGTTTGGCTAAGTGATTTCATTTAGTTAACTAGTATAAATAAGAGTGCAAACACATTCATTAAGAAAATTTATGGGTAGCTAGTACCTTACTATTGAGTATTGACAAAAAGCAACTCTTCTCCATGTTCATTTTTCCAAGACGTTACATGACCTCCATACAAATACACCTTCAATAATAGAAATGTTAAAGACAATTAAGCATGTAAACCCTCATATATACTGAAACTTAAATTACAACAAGGCATTAACATCGGATTCAAACAAAAAATCCTCCTATTAGGCAAGTAATGTTCACAATTTGCAAAATCCCAAATTACAGAGAAAAAATATAACCTAAAATGAAGTTTTACATGAGTAAGATTGAATCAATCAGCAATGCGTGACATAAAATCCACCAACAAGTACAACATGCATAATTAAATTACAATACTCAAGCAAATCCGAGAGAAATTAAGGAATTAGTCTACATACCTCTACAAAACTGTTGTGGATTTGATGGGCTATGATGTTATCTAAGCCATTAATGCGTTTAGCAATATCAACAGGTTTTTTTCGTCATTGACACTTCATCTACAAATGCTAAGGTAGGTTGCACTTGCATCCATAAAACAATAGATATGATTACATATAATGAATATGAAATTGTTGAAATAAATACAGATTAAGCTCAACATTAAAATCATGGAGTAACGTTTGTATTGTTTTACCTATATTTAGATGTTTTAGACTAATACCTCAATTTGTAGAAACCCTAAATCGCAATGTTGGTGACAATGATGCGTATAAGAAATAAAGCCCTAATATCGTCGATCGATATGGTAAGGCGTGACTAGCGGTAACAATGGCGATTGGTGGAGTCAATTTTCGGGAATTTGTGAGCAGTGGTGGAGTCGATTTCGAAATCGCCGATGGATTTCTCTGGCTTGATTGATTAGTATAAGTATTTGACATAGACACAATCGATGAGGAAGGGTAAATCGAGATATAAAAGAGACCAATTTTATTTATAACGATGGAAAAAAATGAAGTGTTATTTATTTATTATTAATTTTTTTTTCAGTTTTTGAATGAGTCATTAGTTTTCACAAAAATGAGAAATATTTACCAGTACAATTATGCCCGTCGTAACATAACAGAATCCTTTTGCGGATGACACAAATTTTCAAATGTCTGCCATAAATCTATATATGTCGTAATTCGTCTGTCATGGAAAATCTTTTTTCTATTAGTAATTTGACCATTTAACTTGCTAAATGTGTTTACATATTACTATTGTCACTTATAACAAGTTAAGTAGTCGTTGACAATGATAATACGTGAACACATATAACAAGTTAAATAGTCAAATATGTAAAAAAAAAGTTATCTAAATATTAACAAAACAACAAAATAATTACCTAATAAATCATTTTCTGTAACTTTTTCACCTTCTCTTTAATCCATATAGAAAATAGGTGTCATATTGCAAAAGCATTAAAGTTTTATACCATTATAAAACATGAAATATCATATACAAATACAAATTAAAAAAATGAAGAACGATAAAACAAATATTTTTTTGAATTTAATTACAATAAGGATAAATTTAAAACAAACAATATTCACATCAAAAAGGAGTTTCAAAGCCATGACTAGTTAATTCGAGAGTTTTTTTTTATTAATTTTTCATAAGAAGCTAATGCCTCTTAAAAATCAAATAAGGTGGCTAATATATGTTCATGGAATTCTTTACAAGAATAAAACCCTTTGATTATATTTTGTCAATATCATGTGTTTTTGAATCAAAAATCGATTTTGACTAGAAAAGTTTCGAGGACACTTAGTCCAAAGAACTTATAGCTTTAGTTTAAAGGGCTCCTTTTGTTTTTTGTTTTTTTTCTACTTTTTAAGGGTACCAACTCTTATTTTGAAGGTTTAAAAAGCCATTATTTAGAAAATGAATGGGTCACCCGATGAATTCATTCCTAGTCAGCAGGTTTTTTTACCATGTCATTTAAAAAATGTCACGTCGTTGCCACCTAAGGTTACAATCATTGACCTAACTTAATGCTTCATTTAGAAGTTGGATAAGAACAATACCGATATCGCTTTCTTCCTAACCTTTCTTCTACCATTTCTCTGTAAAATCGATCAGCTAAATTCTTCCTATGGTCGTTTACAAGAAGATCGATCTTCATTTTGAATGTATTCTTACGAGGTACCCTGTTATCAGTTATTCAGATGGAGTGGATCAGAGGTTTGAGGATATTGATTTTGCTAGAATAGACAAGAACGAATTTGTGGTTTTCCTTGAAAGATTCACCAATGAGAAATATGTGAATATGTATTATTGCATGTCCGACATTGAGTTTCTTGAAGGATTGAGGATAATAGCTACTGACATTGAATATATGGATTTGATCGAAATAGGGTATTTGTGGTTGTATACTTCCCGTTTACATGTATCATCTTGGTGTTAATGTGCAGGAATGACTTAATGATGAGAAAGCTAAAGTTTTCAGTCTTGAAGATAAGCATTCATGTGTAGGTGAATTTCATGGAGAATTGCAAGGTGATATTGACATTGATATTAACCTATATGATTTGTAAGGAGATATGGACATTAACATTGAACTTGATGATTGCATTCCTATGAACAAGTCCAAAAATGATGTGTTTTTTAGTAAGCTCTTCCCCAATGTGCAGCCAACCCCAGACAGTCCACCTCATGAGGATCTATATGTTTAGATGGATGACAATGAAACAATACTTGAGAAGGTAACAACTTATAATGAACATGTCCACTGGAAAAAGTAGAAGCCGGTTTTAGGCATGATATTGGAAAGTCCTAAACAGTTAAAACATATGTTGTTACTAATAGTTATGAGTTATGCTACAAAAAATGATAGTATGAGACTTTTATGTAAATGCTGTTCTGGCCAATACAAGTTTAGACTGTGGGTTTCATGGGTGAGTGAAGAACAAACTTTCTAGATTAAGTCTCTCATAGATGAGCATAAATGTGCAAGAAATTTCAAATTTGGATCAACTGTTAGCTATGCTTGGATTGACAGCCATTATAGTACATAATTCTTATAGAAACAAAAATTATGTGTTATGCTAATGCTACTTAGGGAAGAGGTTAAAAAGAAATTTGGTATTAATGTGAGTATGTGACAGTGTATGAGAACAAAGAAACATGTAATTCATCTAATTGAAGGAACACTTATGGAGCATTATGCAAGGCTTTGGTCATATGGTGAGGAGATAAGAAGATCAAATACAGGTTGAACTATCAAAATGGATGTCAATTCTATGCCAAATGGTGAGACTTATATTATCAAATTTTACATTTGTTTTGAAGGCCTAAAGCAAGGTTGGAGAGGGATCTATAGAAGAGTAATAAACCTCGATGGTTGTTTTCTAAAGGTTATATGTAGTGGAGAGTTGATATGTATTGTAGGAAGGAATGGTGATAGTCATATTTTCCTAATTGTGTGGGCAGTTGTCTGTGTAGAAAACAAAGATAAATAGAAATGGTTTTTTGGAATATCTTAAACAAGACCTAGGAGTGGAAAATGGCTTTGGTATTACTTTGATGCCAGATCAACATAAGGTATGTGAGTTACTTTCCATTTTCATCTATAGTAGCTACACTTTTTATTAACATATTACAATTTTTTTGTAGGGACTATTGGAGGCTATCAAAGAAATTTTGTCTACTACTGAACATAAGTAGTGTGGAAGGCATATTCTTGCAAACATTAGGAAAATATTTATTGGTGTACACTATGAGAAGTTGTTTTGGAAGGCAAGCAAGGCTTCCAATTAGCCTTTATTCAATGTAGCCATGAAAGAAATTCAACTACTTAATCCTACGACATTTACATACCTTAGGAATAAGAACCCCAAATCATGGAGTAGAGCATTCTTTCAAGAAGGCAGAATGTGTGATGTTGTTGAATATGGATTTTCTGAGAGCTTTAATAATGTGATCAGGGGTGCAAGGAAAAAGTGAATCATCACAATGTTAAAGGAAATTAGATTGTATGCAATGGAGAAACTATATAATTTAAGCATCAAGGGTAGTTCTTGGCCTGATTATAAACCTTATCCATCAATTACACTACTACAAATTAAGT